TCTGCATCCTTTCCTTCAAGGCTCAGGGGTCCAAGATTATCTTCTGTGTCTGTGTTAATTTGTTTCCCTTTTCTTTGTTGAAGAGGGTCTGTGCAATCCTTCTGCCTAGTCCGCCATCTTGCCCCGCCTCCACAATAGAGTTTTATAGTTTTCTTTGCCTTTTGTATCTCTGGTTAGGCTTATTCTAGGTTCTTTAATCTTTTGGTACCTATTGTAAATTGTATTGTTTTCCTTTTCAGAGTTCTCTTGTTCATACAGAAGAATCTGACTGATTTTTATATGTTGATCTTGTACCCTGACACTTTGCTGAAATGTTTCTACAAGTTCCAGTAGTTTTCTTGCTGAGTCTCTGGGGTTTTCTATATATAAGATCAAATCATCTGTAAATAGAGTAGTGTTACTTCTTCCTTACCAATTTAGATGCCTTTTATTTCCCTTTCTTGCTTTATTGTATCAGCTAGGACTTCCAATAAAATAGTAAATAGGAGTGGTGACAAAGGGGATCCTTGTCTGGTCCCCGTTTGCAAGGGAATGCTTTCATTCTCCAATGAAAATAATGTTGGCTGTTGCTTTGTATGCCCTTAACTACACTGTGAAATTTTTCTTCCATTCTTGCTTTCCTGAGCATTTTTAACATGAATGGTGCTGGATTTTATCAAATTAAGGTCCCTTAGTCTGCACTCACCTAGTAACCCAAAGGCTGCCTGTCTGAGGCTGCCCAGTGGGACCACTGAAGATCCATGTCTGGCAAGCATTTGCAGTAAAGATTGCAGCCAATCTGGCTCTGAAACCTACAGGGTCTCCCTAAATGAATACACAAACAAACAAATGCTTCACTATATGTAGAATTCTGGGTTGAGAGTTATTTCTTTCACCACTTGAAAAATGTTGTGCTTTTTTTCTGGCATCTGTGGTTTCTAATAAGAAACCCACCATCATTCAAAATGTTTTCCTGTGTAAGTAATGTGTTGTTTCTTTCTGGATACTTTTGAGATACTTTTCTTGAGAAATTTGATTATGATGAAAATGGGACTTTTGGGGGCATTAATTCTGTTAAGGAGTTGCTCAGCTTCTTGAGTCTGTAATTTTATGGCTTTTGCTTAATTTGGAAAACTCAGTCATTATTTCTTTAAATATTTTTCAGTCCCTTATTTTTTATCTTCTCCTTCTGGGACTCAAGTGATATAAACCTTTTTTTTTTTATTTTTTTTAATTGTTATTCTTCTTGTTTTTCATGTTTCCTTTCATGTTGTTCTGATTGGACTGTTTCTATTATCTGTCTTCAAGTATTGATTCCTTTGTGTAATATCTCCATTCTGCTACTGAGTCCATCCAGTTAAGTTGTTTTAATTATTATTTCAATTACTGCATTATTCTGTTTCCAAATTTCCATTTGGTTCCTATTTCTTCTATTTGCTTAGACTTTCTACCCTTTCAATTGTTTCATGAGTGTTCATAATTGCTCTCTGGAGTCATTCTATGATAGCTGCTTTAAAATTCTTGTCAAATTATTTCAACATTTGTCTGTTTTGGTGTTGACATCTACCAATTACTTTTTCTTATTCAAGATGAGTTTTGGTATGATGAATTTTATACTCAATTATAGGTATTCTGAGTACAATATTATGAGATTCTGGTTCCTGTTTAAATCTATTTTAGCATAGTCAACCTTTTCAGGTTCAGAACCCATGTCCTGGCCCACTTTTGTGGTCTGTGGTGCAAATTCTAATTTTGTTTCCAAAGGTTTTGTAGTGCTATTCTGGTCTTTGCCACTTGTGTGCTACCCAGCTAATCCAAAACCGAGATGGTGTTCTGGACCAGTGTTCAGTTATCAAATGTTGCCGTGTTGTTTCTAGTTGGTTTCATGTATAGTCTGCAAAAAGGTCTTCCCAGGATTCCAAATACAGGTTTAGAAAACCTCTTTTTCTAGTGCCTCCTCTCCTTAATCCTCCACTTGGGTGGGGATTGGGGGAAAGAAGCATCACCTCTTATTTCAAGGCAGGAATATAAAGACAGGAGTATGCTCAGTCTCCAGGCCATAACATTAGATGAGGAACAGGAAAGGAGTGGCCTTTTTCTTAAGTTCACCTAATTAGGGCTGACCAAAAAAAAACCAAACTCACTGCCATTGAGTCAGATCTGACTCATAGTAAACCCCCTTGGGTTTCCGAGGTGGTATCTCTACGGAAGTAGATTGCCCAATCTTCCTTCCCAGGCGTGGCTGGTGGGTTTGAACCACCAGACTTCTAGCTAGCAGTCAAATCATCTGTTAATATTCTGCTTTTCCAAGTCCTTTAGCTAGCGAGAGAAATCTTTTCTAGGTTTTTATTTATTTATTTATTTTCTTAGGGGGTTGTTCTATACCTGTTGGTGTTTCTAGATTGCAGCCTCTCTGGGGTGCAGGCCAGGATATAAAGGAGATAAACAAAACAACTCAAATCAAAACAGTGATGACAACAACAAAAACAACCCCGGGAACATCCTGTTGAGTGCTCCTTGAGTCTTGTGCCCCCTAGCCAGACAACTTTCTTTTCTTCACCTTTCAGAGTTTTCTGCTAACTGCTCTTTGAATTTTGTTCAGGCTTCTCTTCATGCTTTAATTCTTGGAACGAATGAGGTAGAATGTGCTTGCTCCATCTTGTATGGAACCAGAAGTTCTAGTAGCTGCTTTTTTTTTTGGTACTTGCTATCTCTGTACTGCTTTCCTGTACCAGTACCAGTTGCCACCCATTCCACACCAACCCATGCCAACCCCAGCTGTGTCAGAGAATTATGTGCCACAGGGTTTTTAATGGCTGGTTTTTCATAAGCAGATCATGAGGTCTTTCTTCTGAGGTGCTTCTGGATGGACCCGAACCTCCAACACTTGTTAGCAGGCGAGTGTGTTCACAGTCTGTACCACCCAGGGACTCTTCTGTATTCATATGAGTCTTTTTTTTTTTTTTTAACCACTTTTGGCCACATGTTACTACTTAGTAATTCATGATATTATATTTTTCCTGTTCAAATTATTGGTGTGATTTCTGTGTCCTGACTAGAGTCTGACATGCAGTTTTGGGTAATGACAAAGTGTAGGGAGGGTATGACTATGAATGCCAATGGTGGAGGTATGTAAAGAAGATCATTGGAAATAAGGATGTCAACAAGTGGAGAAACAGAGGGGTTGGAAGGATCACCTACAACAAATTTAAGTCACAGTCATAAGAGAAGGAAGAGAAAGATAATGTACTAGGACTTCACTGGCTCAGAACCTTTGACACATTATGCCCATGACCACCAGACATTTTCCCCAGTGACACCAGGAGTTCTCCTGTAACACCCAGTTTTAATCCTGACTCAAAATATTCTGCATGGGAGGGTTGTCATGTCTGGGTAATGTCAAGAACCCTGGTCTCAGATCATGAAATCTAGTGGTAATCCTGGCTATAACATGTACACCATATGACCTGAGCAATACACTTCAATTTTTTGGACCCAGGTTTAAACCACATTTCTTCTTTCTGTGAAACAGAATGTTCGTTTCTGTTCTGTTTGTCTCAAAGAATGGCCATGAACTGGGTTTGTACAGATCACATACAATAATATATCCATGCTAGAGATGTCCCAATATTCCCACTTCCTCACCTACTCAGGTGTGTAAATTTTATTGCGAAGCATGTCTCTTTGTCCTTGCTTTTGTTCTGGTCCAAGTCTTCCTTTGTTTCCCCTTCGACCCTTGCTATAGCCATTGCTATTCATCTCTCTGGCAATTCTTCCTTACAGACTTCCAGATGAATCCTTCTAAAACACTTCTCCAATAAGGTCATCTCTCCTCTAAAACCTCCCATGACTGCCCATTACACATTTAGGGATCTCTACGATCCAGGCAGTCTACAACCATACCTCTCCTCACATAGCCCGCTCCAGCCCACAGAGCATATCACTTTTCACATCCATACAAGTTAGCTCACCGATCTACAAATTTGCTACTTCTCATTTAGATTCCTTTGAATAAGCTGATATCTCTGCCTGGAATGTCCCATTTCTCTATCTGCTTAATAAAATAGTATTTTTCCTTCTAGTCTCAAAGCAAACACAACCTTGAACACATAGGTTTTTTCAAATCATATAACAGAAGCATCCTTTTCTTCCACTGAGGTTCTACTGCACTTGACTGATGTTTCTCTTAAAGGCACTCACTACAAATGTGTGGTTATTTGTAAATATGCCATCTTTCGTTCACTGGGTTGAGAACATCTCTTAAATAGGACTATATCTTACTCATTTGCATTACCCCAGCACTCAGAAGAAGGCTTGAATATAGTAGATGCCCAGTGAATGTTAGTTAAATAAATTGCTAAGGTGAATATTGGTATATAGTATATGTTTTGCAATGGAGACAAATTTAAGTTATGTGTGGGAAATAAATAGATTGTGTATATGATTTGTGGTGTGTGTGGAAGGATGTTTGCTTTTTATTCCATTTGTGCCTATGATTGAGAATGTGGGGGTAGAGATGTGTGGTTTGTAAAGGAGATGTGGTTCATACATGTGATGGTACATGAATATACACCATGTGAACACAGGAGAAATTCCCCAGAGGTTGCCTCCTCTACTCTTTGGGCCATACTGGTCCTCTTCCATAGCACTAGCCTTCTCCCCTCCTGCCCCTACCCCATCCCTGTCCTTGCTTTCCTACCTTATGTGTATGTCAGACTCCAGCCCAGAGGCCCCTTGTTCAACAGCTCTCTCAAAAGACATCATGGTATTCTCAGGCCCTGCCTGTGAAACAAAAGATAAATGGATGGTAAAGAAAAAATGGACTAGGGGTCAGGTGATCTTGGTTTGAGTCCAACTTCAGTAATTAATTCCTTTTTCTTATCATCTCAAGCCAACTGTTTTCCTTTCCAGTAACTCCTATGGTTCTGCGGTCCCTTTCTCTAACCCATGCACCCCATGCACACGTGTACTCACCCTGTTTCATCATGATCAGACCTACCATGGGAGCACCTCTATGTCCAAAGAAGGTTGGTTTGGGCCCTAAATCCTCCTTATCCTGGATGCAGGGAGAGTGAATCCCTACTGGCACCACGTAGAGAAACAAAAGGACAACAATAAAGGGCAGTCCAACAACCATTTGTAGAGCTGAAAATATCGGAAGAAGGCAGAATGAGAAAAAAAGAAAAGGGGGATGGAGAACTATCGCAAGCAACTCACTGGCCCAAAGCAGCAGTCTGAGTAAATACCAAGCCCATGGGTTTGCTGACTCTCTGGACTGGCTAATTTACTCTGCTTCTGTCACATCTTCACCTACTTTCAGAGATGTGCATGTGAAAGTACAAGACTGTTTAAATATAAGGTATATGGTTAAGGCAGTATTATTGGAAATTGACAGGAGAATGAATTGTGCAGTGGGTGAGAAGGGAAAGAAGGACAGGAAATGTCAAGGATCAGCTTCTTAGGAGGAGGTGCTTAGCTGATTTTGAAAAAGCACTAAAGCTGTAAAGATCAACCTAATAAGTCTCTGTACCTAAGGCAATGCAGTATAATAGAAGAGGAGCTCTGGTGGCATAGTGGGTAAAGCATTTGGCTGCTAACCAGAAGGTCAGTGGTTCAAACTCACCCAGTTGCTCCATGGGAGCAAGGTGAGGCAGTCTATTTCCAGAAAGATTTATAGTCTTGGAAACTCAATGAGGGTCACTATGAGTTAGGATGGACTTGATGGCAGTGAGGTTTTTTTTGTTTTGTTTTGTTTTCTTAGTATGATGGAAGAGCACAAGCTGACAGAAATCTGGGTTCAAAGCCAGGCTCTGCAACTTTCTAACTGCTGCTTAACCTCTCTGGGTCTTCATTTTCTTCTAAAAAATGCAGCTATCTCTTGCTACTAAAAGAGTTGGTGTGACAGTGTTGGCTCAAATAGGTGCTTAATAAATATCAGTTACTTGCTTTTCTTTCTCTGTATTTCACACACACACATAGCATACACCCACCCTGTCCACAGCCCATGTTATCACTATTCCCCAACACTTAATATTTTCAACTTCTGAGGATTTTATCCATTTGTACATTTTGAGTTGTCACCTATGCTTCAGTGATTTTCAATCTAGGTGTCCAGCTCTAACCTTTCAACCTCTTAAGTATATGACATCTCTTGTGTTTTTCTCGGTTGTAATATGACATCATGTATCTTCTGTATCTAGCTAAAATTTAGGAATTAAAAAGAAAAGGGTTCATTATTGTCATTTTTAAGCTCTTGCCCCAGAAACATTTCCTAAAATCATCCTACACAGACAAATACATATATGTACAATGGCACCACTAATTCAGCCTTTCTTTTGCCTGTATCCTACTATAAGTAGGAAGCAAATACACTATATATACTAAACCAGTGGTAAATCAGGAGGCTTAGAGAGAAGAACCTACTGGTTCATTAGCAGGGACAATGAGAGATAACTGCATTCTTAAAACAATTAAGTGTGCAGCTGATTTACTTTTGTTTCCATTATATTAGGGCAAAAAATGATAGAAAACCAGTGGCAGAACTAGAAATCTATGCTTCTGCCATGAGTTCCCAAGTATGACAGGGACTCACAGTGGCCTGCTTTGAGTTTCTGGGAGGCGACCAGGGATCTCTGGGTCTGGTATAAATTCATTAAAACTAGCAATATTTTCCAAACCAAACTGAAAGAACTGCGACTCTTACCAGAGCTCTCATCAAGTAAAATTAAAGCGACCCCCACCCATCCCAGGGAGTCAATGGGTAACAACACAGAGAAAAATGTTATTTTTATAGAAGGAAAACTCTTCTTTAGAAGGTCTATTTGGTCAAGAAAATAAATACTATGACAGGCCATTTACAGTAGAGAATGACACCACAAGGAACATGCTTGAGTAACAAGCTAAACTAATTTCAGAGGTGTAGGGCTAGCTAGCTACGAAGGTTCTGTTTTGCTGAGTGGCAAACAAGGGTCTGCCAACATGACATACCTTCTCCTTCCAACTGGACGAAGTAATAGGATACAGGCCATGAAAAGATAACCATCAAAGTTATGCAGGTCAGGTGCCAGTAGGGAGCAAAGATCTGGGAGAAAGTCAGAAGTCAGGCTGGACACACCTACACAGACAGTGCTAGAACTGTAGGATGATGCCTACCTTCAGTGACAGCCCAAGTATCAGCCACTTATCCTTCCAGAATTTACATAAAATCCACAACAAAGTGACAGACACTACAGTCACTAGCAGAATCAGGATCTGAGGAAACAGAAAGGATTTCTTTATTCCCAGCCAGTAAGTTGGGACTGAGGAGCTCTGGTAGCATAGATCTAGGCACTTGACTTCTAATCAGAAGGCTGGCGGTTCAAACCCACCAGCCATTCCTTGGAAGGAAGGTTGAACAATCTACTTCCATAGTGATACTGCCTTGGAATCCCAAGGAGGGGTCGCTGTGAGTCGAGTCTGACTTGACGGCCCAGAACAACAACAACAACAAAGCTGGGACCAGAACGGTCCTTGGGGATTGTAAGTGTGTCACCAAAAATGTCAGAGTCCTCATCCCCTCATACTTTTAATTTAAAGATCCTGCAAATCCGCAATATTGGATGGATTCAATCATTCACTTTCCCTGCTCTTAAGTCTTTGTTGTATAGCACGGCTAGAAAAAATTACACAGCCATGTGGTCTGATGTTATTATTATCATTTCCAGCCTCAACTGGGTCCTCAACCTGACTTGGCATCCCTCACATTCTCAACAATGGCCAATACAAATGTTTATTTCTTTATACCATTAAATACAAGTAAATGATATTGTGTAATTACCTCTTCAAGGTATGTTTTCTCCGAAAGATTATAAGATTCATGAGGTCGAGGACAGTATTTGTATTATTATTACACCTCAATGTCTTGCAGACTGTCTAACACATAGTAAGCATCCAATAAGTATTTGTTGAATGGATGAAAAAGCTGCCAAATCAGACTCATAAATCACAGATCTTATCCAACAACAAAGTTTACTAATGATTTAGAGGACAAACACTATCATAAGGTATATACATAAAATATTTTCTCACGGAGAAATCTGATCCTATCAACAAAGATCTTTCTTCTTCTCCATCAGGTTACATTCTGATTTGGGACTAAAAATGTGAGGGGTGTTCTGAGCAACACCAGTGGAAACACTGCTTCACAGCAGGGGCCATTCTGGTTATCCCCTCCCCCAAAAAAACAAACTCACTGCTGTGGAGTCGGACCTGACTCATAGTGACCCTTCTTTGGGTTTCTGAGGCAGTATCACTATGAAACTAGATTGCCCAACTTCAACCTTCCTTCCGAGGAGTGCCTGGTGGGTTTGAACTGCCAGCCTTCTGGTTAGCAGTCAAGTGCCTTAGGCACTACGCTGCCAGAGCTCCCATTCTGGTTACAGAACATCTCTATGTTGTATACCATTAATTACATAACTCCAGCCATGCACATCCCACACGTCATAAATCTATAAATTCCAGGCTTGTTTACATTTACAATAAGCAACTTAGCTATACTAGGTATATCCTGCTGAAAAATTTCATAGATAAGGACTATACATTATCTTTTGGCTAATAAATACCCTTAGTGTATTTACCAGGAGCTCTGGTAGCCTAGTGCCTAAGGCACTTGACTGCTAACCAGAAGGCTGGCGGTTCAAACTCATCAGCCACTTCTCGGAAGGAAGATTGGGCAATCTACTTCCATAGTGATACTGCCTCGGAAACCCAAGAAGGGGTTGCTATGAGTTGGGTCCAACTCAAGGGCACATAACAACCACAACAGTGTATTTAAAAGGACTTTGGATTTAGGTCATTCATTTCACCCTATACATCCCTAGGTAGAATGAGAATTGGCTATAGGCCTGTAGCTGACCTTCTTGTTTGGTATATTAAAGGTACATTGAATCTGAATCTCCAAGTGCTATAGTATCTATCTTGCAGTAGAAATAGTCTCTCCTCCTCTCATGCTCGAAGGCCCATCAGAGGTAGCTACCTTCTAAGGCGATACCAACTATTGTCATATCCCACCTCCGTCACTCTCATTGCCTACAGACTTGTAACTACAATTAGCTCCCAGAAGGCCTCAGGAGCTTAAGCCTTACAGAAGAACAGCAAGACTTTGCTAATTTGTATTGGCAAAAATCCTATAGCATATGTGTAAGAATGAATTCTAAAGATGCTAGGAGAAAAACACATAATTTTAGATTAGACTAAATTTGTCAATAAGGGTGTACTTACCAGAGATTCTAGATTCAATACTTCAGAATCTAAATATTAAGCAGCTTTGAGTGATTCTAATTTTCTGAAATCTTGGTACCATAGTGGCCCATGTCTAACTGAATTGGGATTACAGTAATTTCTTGGTATAGAAGAAAGAATCAAAAGATTTAGGGTGAAAAAGTTGCTGGAATGGTATCACATATTATGAACTCACCTACCCCTATCATGTTCTCTTGAGGTCTGAAAAATATACTGGGAAAAAAGTTTCAGTATGCTTAAAAAGCACTGTAATAGCTATCCTCTAGGTCTGAATAGATGAGAGATTCTGCCATTGAAATGGGCTCCTTGATTTCACAGGGGATGATGAGATATAGCTGTCAAAAACCAAACTAAACTCATTGCCATTGAGTCGGATCCGACTCATAGAGGACTCATAGAGACCCCTCCTTGGGTTTCTGAGGCGGTATCTCTATGCAAGTAGATTGCCCAACCTTCTTTCTGAGGAGTGGCTGGTGAGTTTGAACCGTGAGCCTTCTGGTTAGCAATCAAGTGTCTTAGGCACTATGCTACCAGAGCTCCTATAGATACAGCTGTAATTGAGGCCTAATTGTTGTTAGGTACCATTGAGCAAGTAGCAGTACTTAACTGCCAGAGACAAGGAGGGCATGGTTCCTATAAAAGGCACAAGCCTGGAATCGTAATCAGATAAATCTGTTGTTGTGTGGTGCCACTGGGTTGGTTCTGACTCATAGTAACCTTATGTACAACAGAATAACACACCGCCCAGTCCTGTTCCATCCTCACAAGTACTGTGATGTTTGAGTTTATTATTTGCAGCCACTGTGTCAATCTATCTCTTTGAGAGTCTTTGTCTTTTTGCTGACCCTCTGCTTTACCAAGCATGACATCCTTCTCCAGGGATTGGTCACTCCTGATAATATGTCCAAAATACATGAGATAGTCTTACCATCCTTGCCTCTAGAAGTATTCTAGTTACACTTCTCCCCAGACAGATTTGCTTGTTCTTCTTCTTCTGTCTTCCTTATGCATTGTCCAGCTTTCATATACATATAAGGTGACTGAAAATACCATGGGTGATATTTTGACTGCTACATCCATCCATGGGTGTTGATTGTGGATACAAGTAGTATGAAATCTTTGACAACTTCAATCTTTTCACCATTTATCATGATGCTACTTATTGGTCCAGTTTGTGAGGCTTTTTGTTTTCTTTATATTGAGGTGTAATCCATATTGAAGGCAGTAAGTAGTCTTTGATGTTCATCAGTAAGTGCTTCAAGTCTTCTTCACTTTCAGCAAACAAGGTTGTGTCATCTGCATATCATAGATTGCTAATGAGTTTTCCTTCAATCCTGATGCCACCTTTTTCTTCATAAAGTACAGTTTCTCAGATTACTTGCTTAGCAGATTGAGTAATAAATCAGGAGAAAAGATACAACACTGATGCACACTTTTCTTGATTTTAAACCATATAGAATCCCCTCGTTCTATTCAAATGACTACCTCTTTGTCTATATACATGTTCCTCATGAGCACAAGTAAGTATTATGGAATTCTAATTCTTTGCAATTTTATCCATAATTTGTTATTATCAACACTGTCAGTGTCCTGCCTCCAAAACAGATAGTGACAACTATCTATTTGTTCACTTCTCAACCTACATTCTTTCCCTAGAAGATCTCATGACTTGGATTTTCACTTATGCTGACAACTCCTGAATTTTATTTCCCGTTCATATTTCTCATTTGAGTATGAGAAGATTTAAGGTGACCACTCAGAGAGTTTGACCTGTTGGATCTGGGAAAATACAAGGAATGATATCAAAGTCATTCTTGAAAAAGCCTTTAAAAAAGCAAAATGCTGGGACTGGAGCTGCTCCTGCCTATGGCAGAACAAAATGACAAGGGTTATTTTGGAAATGAGCTGCATTTTCACAGACAGTGCCCAATGTTGCCTGTTTTCTGGGGACCATGAGAGAAAGTCATGCTGGTGTTATCTTAAAAGGATCCCATAAAAAGTAGGGTCAAAAGGACCTCAACAGAGAAATTTTAGGAAGGACAACAGTCACTGACTCCATCAAGAGAACTGAAGTCAAGGTTTTAAGCAGAAAGGCATTGCAAAAAGCACATGGGGCAGCATCTCCTGACCTCCTCAACTTCACAAGGGGGAGTCAGAACCACCACCAACAGCCTGAGGCTCATTCCTATAGGCTAGACATGCCACCCTCCAGCCTCCTGAACAACTCTGACACAAACCATCCCTTCCATAGCACTTGCTACTTCTCTGCTGGGTTTGATAACTCTGTGTGCAGTGGCCACACAGAGCTCACAGACAATACTCATTATTATGGGGTTTATTAGGGAAATAACAGGCTACAATTTAGGTTCAGGAACCCTCTCAGGATACAATTATTCAATCAGGACAATCTCCCCTCTGCTATGCCCTCGGGCATGCCTCTCTGGCCTTTGGCCTCTCAGCCTGATCTCTTCCCTGCTCAGGCAAGTGTTACAAAACTCTTGGCTCTGCGATAGGTACACCTAGGTGCACCCGACTCTGCCAGCAAGCCTCCTGCCCAAAGGCACTCAGCTCTCTGGCTCTGTGGGCCAGCAAGCCTGCTGCTCTATCTCATGCCTCTTGGTTCCTCAGCTGGTTGTCTCAGCTGGTCATCTCTGCCGGTTGTCTCTGCCATCTCTCTGTCAAGGAGGCCCAGCACAAGGATCTTGGGTCCAAGGATGTGCTTCACTACACCTCCAGCTCTTCTCTCCTGATAGCAGTGAAATGCCCCTTTCTGCCTCTAGGAAGGCTCATTTGAAGCCTAGGAGAATGACAAACCTAACCAATCCACACATAAGAGTTCCATACACCTTATTCACATGGTCCCACCCAGTGATCAGGTATGAGTCATAAAGACTAGTTAGAAAAGCCATACCAGGTAATTCACTGCACCTCAGGCATACACAGAAGCACTCATGAGGAAAGGAGCCAGGACCTGTACATTTATCTGGCCAAGACAGAATTACTAAAATGACCTTCTTGGCCCTCCTTGTGCGACTGTGCCCTTTTCTCCTAATCTCCTCTTTCCCTAGGTTCTATTCTGGCAGAGGAGAGGTAAGGGTCCTCTCAACCAGTACCGGCTTTCAGGACTGAATCAGGTCCTAACAGGGGAGGGAAGAAATTTTAAGATTAATAAAGTCAGAGTTTGGGTTATTACAATGAAATGAAATTTTCAATTACTGAAATGAGAACGTTCTTGTAACTAAGAAGGACTGAAAACTAATGGGCCTTTCCTAAGGTCTTTGCCTAGATTTTTTCAGGATGGAAAGAACAAGGCCACAGAGTGGATTTAACAGGGAGTGGTGAGAAAGAATGAAATTTGAATTCATATTGGCTTCAATTCCTTCAATAAGCCACTTACTTCTGGCAGAAATTATCTCAATTAAAACCATGCAAGTAAACTTCTACTCTCGAGGGAAAACAACGAAATAAAGTCGACTCTGTATTTAACATTAAGGAGCTCTGGTGGTGTACTGGGTAATGTGTTTGGCTGCTAACCAGGAGGTCAGTGGTTCAAACCCACAAAGCCACTCCATGGAATGAAGATTGGGCAATCTACTTCTGTAAAGATTTACTGCTTCAAAAACCCAATGAGGGTCGCTATGAGGGGACTAGGGAATCTAGTTGATGGCAGTGGGTTTGGTTTGGTATTTAACACTGAATGCCAGGGAGGCACATTCAGTCTTGGTCTTAAGGGCTCCTATGAGGATCCAAGATGTCCTACCTTATGACACCAGTGCAGGTATAGCTTGTTCCCTTCCCAAACCAACAAAAATCCAAGTACCTGCAAAAGAGGAAAGAGGAAATAATTTTGCAATCACCATGTAGCTGCTCAAACTACTGTTCCTGAGCTCGAAATTACTTTCACAGTCTCGCATTATAGCTACTTCTTGCTATAGGCAGCTACACTTCTGAGTCTCTGGGCCTTTGCCATGCTGTTCTTCTCTGCCTGAAATGCTCCCTTGCTCTATTTCACTCACCCTTCAAAGCAAGCTCAAATGTCATCTCTTATTTGTAACTTTTACCAGCACCCTCAGGAGGAATTAATTATTATCTCCTCTGGAAATTTGTAACAATCACCACAGTAATATCTTTTCTGAGTTACTGCCAATTATTTTCTCCTGGGTTGGACTTTATTCTTGGCATTACTCAAATCAACCTGTGAGAGGACCAAAGTCAGGGGCCAACCTTTCCAAGGATATTTTAAAAGCTCTTTCTTGGGGGAAATTGTACTTAAAACTACCATCATGGCTTCCACTGTTGTTAACATTGGTACATATTCAATAAATCTAAATTCAGATTTAGCCTGAATCTAGCCAGTTACCAAGCCAGTTCAGATGAAAACTAGAGTTCTCCTCAGATGCATAGCATATTAATGATAGTTTGAAAATAAAAGGCATTTTATCTTTTTCATCATTTATTCTTAATCAAGTCCTATGAAATACCACTTTATCAGATATTATAATAATTCTCATTTGAAAGAAGGAAACAAAGGCTCAAAAGAGTTTTATGACTCTACCAAAGTTACAAAGGAACTTAAAGATAGAACAAGAAATAGACCTAGGTCTCCTTCCTTGTTTATTGTTGTTGTTATTTAAGATGCCCAAAAAGGAATAGGGTAGAATAGAAAGTTTGTTAAAACATATTGCTTTACTGAGCATTAAGACTCATTCCCACCTGAGAAGCTAACTACCATTCATGCTTATTATCTACGAAAATAGTGCAATTCAGTGGCCAGGTACGGTGTAGTAAATTACACGGTATGGCTTTTCTAGTCACAGCCTTTGTAAACTCCATGGTATAATTTGTCATGAGCAACTGAATAGCTCCTGGCTGTGAAAAGTTATCCACCTGGGGTATTTCTGTTGAGAGTGGCACAAAGCAATCTTCTGTGAAGTTTGCTCTCTCTCAGGTGTATAGAATTCTGATGTTGGGATTGGTTAGTTTTACCACTCTGCCAGGCTCAAAAGGACCCCTCCTAGAGGCAGAAAGAGTCTCTCTGACTGCCAACTGAGAGACACAGTTGCTGAGAGAGACACGCTTGCTGAGACAGACATGAGAGAGACACGCACTGCTGAGAAAGAGAGACGTGCTACTGAGAGAAACGGCTGGCTCCTGAGTGAGACAGCTGGCTGAGATTGGGCATGTTCCTGAACTTGAGTTGCAGCCTGTTGCTTCCCTAATAAATCCTATAATCTATGAGTTCAGTGTGGCCACTGCAGCAAATTACTGAATCCAGCAGAGAGGTGGTGGATGCCGGGGGAGGAATCGTTGGTGTAAAGGTTAGTAAGAGAGCTGGAGGGTAGCAGCATGTCTGGCCTCATAGGAGCAGGCCTTGGGCTGCTGATGGTGATTCTGTCCTCCTCTTGTGGAGTTAGAGGAGGTCAGAAGATGCCGCCTTCTTGCCCCTTTAGCACCAGGGTTTGGCCTAGAACATGTCCTACATCTGCACTGTCCATACTTTTTTTTTTTTTAAAAAAAAGGTTTCTAATGGGTCTCTCTGCTTGTAAGCTAGGCATTCTCCATACCACACTTCCAGAATGATTTTCCTAAAATAAAATTCTGACTTACTCTAAAAGTCTTAGTCTTGCTTTCCAAGTTATCTAAAACCTGTGACAAGTCTACCTTTTCAGTTTTGTTCCCCATTATTCTTCATTATGTCCTACATACTAACAGAACTGACCTTTCTCTCTTTTCTAGACATACTTCACATTTTTTCAGTCTCACTGCCTCTGTCACAATGTTCCCTCAGCCTGGAATGTTCTTTCCTGTTCCAGTATCTTTAGTCCAAATTCAAATTTCTCTTCAAGATCTCATTCTAGCATTATCTCCTCTAAGAAGTCTTACTTAATAACCTAGAAGTTACCTCTTCCTTCTCTAACCCCTACAGAACTTTATTTAGACTCTCCAATGACAAGTGTAACGCTCCATCTTGTGTTACTTATTTTTGCTCCTAACTGAGGCCTACTAGATTATAAGTTTTACTGGGTGAAAAGTGTTGTTTCACTTTATATCTCTTATCTGTTTCTATGAAATACTGTGCATGAAAACAGAAACTACATATATAAATGTATAGTCAGCACTTAGCACAATGTTCTGCTCACAGTAATAATGAATAAATTTTGATGAAAGAAAAAAATGAATGCCAATGGCAATTGATTTTGGGGTTGGGTTCTTTTGTGTTGGGCAGTGAATCAACAGGGACAGAGAATAGCATGTTCAGAGAAAGATGTCTGCCCTACATATATGTGAGCACTAAAAAACTCCAATTGCCTAAAGTTATCCTCTCATAAGCTTCCCATTTCCACAGCCCTCTTCTCTTGCCTGTCTTGAAATTCTCATACTACAGTACAGTACTATGTCAGGCAAAGAGGCAGCATCATCCTGCCAAAAGACTTTTGCTAAGATGTGCTCTGCACCTGTGCTAGGTGACTAGCATTTGCATATCAGAGCAGATTAGCTAATCGGTAAGGTCCAGAAAGACTGATTCTCAGAGGGTGGAATCTGAAATAAGGCAGTTCAATATGTAAAAAGTATTGCTCATGGGAAACTGTGGGTATCTAAAACGACAATACTGAATGAACCATAGGGTAGGCTGTGAAACAGGAGATTAGAAAGAAGATAGCCGGTCACCCTTTAAAAGGTCCAAGTTGGGAAGGCACATTCTCTAATAGCACAAGCATTTTTTCCCCCTCTACCGTTTGTGCCTAAATTTAAACAGCTGATATAAAACCAGTCTCTGATGAAATAAGAGAGACCTACCTAGGTTTTGATGGCTCTAGAACCAATGGGGTACCACATCTGAGTAACACTTAGGAGTCTACCCATGAAGAGAGTGGGGAAACAGGAAGCATTACTCACCAAGAGCAATGAAGTGTAAGCAGTCAGGATCCCAATAATAGAGAGCAAAACAATGGACCAGTAGAACCAGATTCCTGTAGTTAAGTAAACGGCCCTGCAAAAATATGTTTCAATCCTTAATACACAGCAGAAAGCTAGAGAGTTTCTGTCAAAGATGTGACAGCATCAGACTGAATGAGGCATGAGAGAACAAGAAGGAGATAAGAGGTATGAGAACAGATTTGTGAAGAACTTGGGGGATATTTAGTTGAGGATTTGAACTCTGTCCTGTAGGCACCTGGATACATTAGTGAGGTCTGTAAAAATGACAGGATTTTTTTGAAGAGTTACTTAGAAAATGTATTTTAAAAATTCTATCCTTTAATAAAATAATAATAATACAGACATTCTAGAATGTCAAAAAAGGAAAAAGTCTTCCCATACTATCACCCCCTGAACAAACCTAATACTTCCCATTTGGGCAGGTTCCATATCCATGTTCATATATATATTTTTTATATATTTGTAATCACTGTCAACATAATAATTGCTCTGTTCCATGTGAGAGATTGTGACTCTTTAAAAATAGTCCTGCTTTTTTCTGTTCTTAAAGTACTTTATGAGAAAAAAAATTGCTTATGATCTGCTAAGAGAAACAATGTTATACTTAGTCTAAATATATATGCCAAATAATTTAGACTTTTCATTTCAAGACAGAGAATGATAAT